AGCAATATATCCCCTGTAGTTGCTGACAGGCCCAGACTGGCCATAGGGCACATCGGGCATTTTCAAAGTGGGCCGGGGCCACATGCAGAGCCACCATCAGGGAGAAGGACAGCCACATGTAGGGGGCACGAGCAGTGTTTCCAATGATTCTTCTGTAGCTCCACTGCTGCAGTCCCACCTCCCGCCCACCTCTGCCAGCATTAATGGTTGGTTGTTAGGGCTACCTGGCATCAAGCAACCAATCACATTGTAGGTCTGCCCCCAGCCTTCACTGGAGGAGAAGTTCACTGAAATTCATCATCCAGACTTGGCTGCTCCACTGTGTTCCTGAGTCCACCAAAACCTGCCCATCAAATCTCACCTACTAAGTCCCACCCACAGAGTCCTGGCCCCTGTTTAAGTAAAGGGAAAGCAATATGGGGGACACTGATGGGGGACCTCTAATGATGGGGACACTGATGGAGAGACCTCTAATGATGGGGATACTCATGAAGCACCTCTAATGATGGGGACACTGATGAAGGGACCTCAACTGATGGTGACACTTATGGAGGGACCTCTAATGATGGGGACACTGATGGGAGACCCCCCTCCCCCAGGCATTGTAAACATTTGCTGCTCAGTCTAATATACCTGGGCCTATTTTTTGTCCCAGTCCAGGCCTGCTTACTGAATTCTATATTGGACTGGAGTTCCTCTTGTAAACCATGGGCATGGCTGTATTTACTATAACAGCACTTACAGGCCTGTTCTTAGGATAGGAGGGTAAACAGGGAGCAGTGTCAACCCATAAAACTTACACACTGAGGTTTTATTCTCCTATTGTACATACTTTTTCTGGCTGGATATTTGTGGTATTTGCTAATGCATGCCAGCTATAGGAAGGTGTTTGTTAGCTATGGAATTTAGGAGGAGAAGGAAGACTCACTATAGCTTAAGAAGCATGACAGCATCTTTCTTTTCTCTTGTTTGTTGATCTGAAATGTTAAGGATTAACTTTAATTTTAAAGCAGACAGCTTGCTGCCTCAAATAGTGCATTATAGCAGTAGTTGGTAATTGCAGAATATTAAAGGCAGAGCTTGTACAAAAGGATGTCCTTATCTAGGTCTGCACAGGGCAGAATGATATCTAAATATGGCATTGAATCTGAATAAAATGAGTCTCGTCTCTCTCAGAGCAAGTTACTATCGAAAGGGAGGAAGAGCCATGCTGCCTGTGAAGTGGATGCCTCCTGAAGCTTTCCTAGAAGGAATCTTCACTTCCAAGACTGATTCCTGGTAATCTTCTTAATTGGCCAATATTTTTTTTTTGTATATGTTCACAGTTTTTGTTTTGTAAAAAATAACAGTACCTAATGGAGGTATTTGTTTGGTACTGTTAAACAAAGTGTGTACTGGATTAATGGAATAGGAGGGACTCTGAGAGATAATTAGTATGATCGCACCAGATTTTTGGTTAAGGCTGTACCGGCACCTGCAGTAATCATACTAGTACCCTTAGGATTCCTCTAGTTCTATTAGTCTAATGCCTAGTACACACAGACAGGGGCGGACTGACCATTTGGAAACTCGGGTGCTGCCCAAGGGCCCATGGTCAGTAGGGGGCCCCATGAGATGCCCCTGGTACCTTTTTCATAGGCTTTTTTGAGTTTGGGCAAGGACACAGGGGCCCCATGATCCCCTATTGCCTGGGGGCCCCATGAGTTCTCAGTCCGCCCCTGCACACAGAGAATATCGGGTGGATGATCGTCTGTTTTTTTTTTTTTCTTGCATGTTAGTCTCATACAGAGAACAAATAGGTTACTAAAGTTACAAAAATTCTCGTAAGACAGAGTACAGCTTTTTGTATTGTAATGTATTCTTTAATTTTCAAGCATGTGCAGTCTTGGTCACTCAATTTTTTTTGTACAAATACTATACTAATTACACAAAAATAATTTGTTCTGTTATCTTACAAGAAAAACATTTGTGCTTCTCCCTTCGGATATTTTCGCATGAACTGTCTTGATCAGCTCTCAAAAGCTGTGTACTAACAAATATATTATTGGACGATCGATCAGAATGTGTTTTTTTTCACCCAATATTCTCATCGTGTGTACTAGGCATAGGACACACTGGGGGAGATATACTAAAACTAGAGCACTCAGAATGTGGTGCAGTTTTACATGGTAGACAATCGGCTTCAAACTTCAGCTTGTTCAATTAAGCTTTGACAGTAAAACCTACAAGCTGATTTCTATGCAGAGCTGCACCAGATTTTGCACACTCCAAGTTTAGTAAATCTCCCCACTTTGTTCAACAGTACCAAGCCATGATAAAGGAGGACCCTTTGAAACCCCTAAACGTGTTTGTTTTTTATGATATAAGGATCTGAATAAAATCAGATCTGGAGATGGAAAATGGAGAAAATGGTCCCAATTGGGAAATCTCCAATAAGTCACAGATACCAATAAATGCAGAGAGAACATCTAGCCAACTTCCACTCTACAAAAAGGTATTGTGTCTGTTGTAGAGTTGTCTCCTCACTTCCTGTACTAAGTAGAACATTGTCTTTGGGTTAAGAAGTGAAGGGGGATCTCTGCAGTGGGATCGCATATAGAATTAAACTCTTAAGAAAGGTTCTCATCATTCCCTACTATACACAACTTTAATCTAAATGGTAATAGTTTATGGCCAGAAAATAGCAAGATACCACATCTCACATAGCTACATTATGATATCACACAGAAAGCTCCCAGAATACAGAGCTAAATATATAGGATGCTAGGAGGTGCTGGATTGGATACATGATTGAGGCAATGTAGTAATTGTATCAGGAAGCACGTATACTCTGTTTATTTTTTAAAAATTGTGTTATTTATTATTTTTATTTGTTATGCTAAGGTAATGCACCCGCTAAGGAGCTATTTTTTTTACCTGGTAGAGCACACACATCCAAGCACACAGCATCTTCTTCACTCTTCTACTGGCCTGAATGAACAGTCTAGGGGTGTCTTTTTAGGGTTTTATTGTAACATTAAACTTAGATGGGGTGAAGGCAGAATGGAATACCCCAAAAGTAGTGAACTGGATATTTTGAGGACTCTTGCTATCTATCTTGCTGAACTGTACAAAACTGTCCCATGGAATCTCTAATGCTGACGGTGACTATGACTTCTCCCACAAAACCAAAAGCTACACACAGTCACTAACTTTCCAGCACTTGGGTCATCTACTAACACAGCCACGGGACCATTGGTTGCCTCCTTCTGATATTCACCAGGCACTCTTCAGTGAGGGAGACACAGACTCACACCACCATAGGACAGCCGGACACTTTTCCCCCCAACTTCCTCCTGACTCTCTCTAGTGAGCTTCTACAGACACAAACTGATTCCAGGACTAAGCTTGCACCCCCCCCCTCCTCCCACAGCTAAGGCTTCTTAGTGGCACCTCCAGTAATCCTGCATAGGGTTCTCTCCAGCAGGACTAGACCCAAGATCTCTCACTCTGCCTCAGGTCTTATACTATTTATGGGCTCTCCAACTGAGCACACCTCTCCCATAAATGTTCAGGCTGACTACACCCACTATAATTCTAAAATCCTCTAAAATACAGGGGGAAAGAATCAGAGCAGCAGCCTGAACAATCCACTGAGAAACAATCAGAGCACACAGACACAACTAAATGTACCCAGCAACCTGTACTAATCTAGGAGGGTAGTACACTAACAAAAATGTTCGATTCTTTATACTAATGGTTGTAGAGTCTGGGTACCTCCAAAAGTCCTTCTTTCTTTATGATATACAGAACTAATGTATCCACAACATTAGAAAAAGGAGGAGTTCCACTATACATGCTCTTGTAAAAACAGCTTCAGGTGATCAAAATCTAAATAAGATGTGATATGGTCTGCAGAAGTGACACACAGGATTTGTTGGCTCTTATAGGTCCTTTGGTGTTTTACTTTGGGAGATCTTCTCATTAGGATATATGCCTTACCCATGTAAAACCAACCAGGAGGTGCTGGAGTTTGTAACAAGTGGTGGACGAATGGATCCTCCCAAAAACTGCCCAGGACCAGTGTAAGTGTTCCGTCTGCAAATGTTTATGTGAGTTAGATTTACTTTTTCCCTGTAGTCATAAGCAGAGCCTGCTTCTCTTCTTATACTCTCCTAGAAAACTGAACATAATGTACAGTCAAGATGTTCCATATCCTTTAAAGTGTAAGACTAGGAGATAGGGTTAAGTGTCCCACCAATTACATTATTTCTGCCAGCATCCCACTAACAAGACAAAAGTCAAAAAATATATACTGATATCACCCTGGGACTTTGTATGGCATAAACATGTGTACAACAATATAAAAACAATAAGTCTTTATTACAAAAATGTAATAAAAGAATCAACAGATTCAATAAAATCAACTGCAATACAGCGATTCATAACTCACAATACCTTGTTACCGATGAGGACGCTCCTCTATAGTTTCTGTACCAACTTCTTTCTCTGGGCTGCATATGTTCTAGTTCCCCCGAGGAGACCAGTAACCATTGGACCCCCTTTATTAACCATTGGCCAACACTGACTAATTACATTATTAAAAAGTACATTATTAAAAAGGATTTGCATGTCCTAAATTAAAGAAAAGTTGTTTTTTGAGCTTCTTCATGTAGCCTAAAGCCTAAACAGCCTTTACTACTTTGGCTGCCAGAAACATTGCTGGGTTTGATACCATTAGAGACTACAGAGAATCCATTGTTTAGACATACGGGATAATGGTTAGTGGTCCCCCTGTTTCTCTAGAGGGTATACTGCAGGGTCCAAGACTTCCTGCCCTGACTATAAGCTCACCATTACCCAGTATAGCCAGGGTGTGGAAAGAAAAGAAAACTCTTTAAGGTTGCAGGTTTGGTTTAATAGAATTGTGGTAAAATAATCTGCCCAAATGGAAAAGTTCTGTTAACATGTTTTATGTTATTGATGTCAATGACCCTACTCTCCCTTTATGCTTTAGATATCGGATAATGACGCAGTGTTGGCAGCACACACCAGATCACCGACCAAACTTCTCAACCATATTGGAACGGATTATCTACTGCACACAGGTAGGAGCATGTCACTGAAAATCTGAGCTTATTCAGTAATGCAGGGCATACTTTTAAATGCAGTAATTCATAATGGACTTACTTCATTGCTACTGGTTCGGGCATGCTCTTTTAGCTGTTATAGCTTGGTTTTACCATAGAGGTTTACGAACTTAGGGGGCTCTTTAGACTTGTGCATTGCAGTAACATTTGACTAAAATGCATGTTTTGGACTTTGTGTGGTGCATTGAGGTGTCATTTAGAATGATACACCAATGCACAGAAATTGTAGGTGCCAGTGTTCCTGCACTACAGGGCATCACAATGCTCATGCCAATGAATGCTCACTCCTAGGTTCACTTTCAGGATTTCTCCAGATCCTCTCCTATGCTCTGGCACTTCTTACCCCTGTTTGGCTCTGTCTGCCTTTAGGCAATCTGTGAAAACCCATTTATTTAGGGAAGCCTATCCTGCCTCCACCTGAAAATTACTTCTGCTTTTCTTTATCACCTCAAACTTCACAGTTATTACTGTTTGTATCATTTGTCCTTCCCTTTTAGATTGTAAGCTCTCATGAGCAGAGCACTCCTAATCCTCTTTTATTGAATTATATTGTAACTGTAATGTCATCCTTTATTTTGTAAAGAGCTGTGCAAGCTGTTGGCACAATAAAAATCCTGTATAATAAAAGTAACATTGTCATAGCATTAGCTGATACCCCATTTACCCCTGCCTGCAATCTTTTTTGCCAGTTTACGAATTGCTGCATTTTTAAAATATAATGTTAGATTATTTGGTTAAAAAATCCATAGCTATTAACCGAAAGTGCCACCCTTCCTTCTTAGTGCAGGTTAGATGGCTCTAAAGGGCATGTCCTGGGCACCCATTAGAAATAATAGGGCCCTGTACAGCTTAACTGATAACATTCACCAAGCATGCTATCCTATATTTTGAGTGTGGCAAAATAGTGCTAGCAGCAGGAGGGGCATACAACTTACTTACAGGCACTTACATACATGTGTCAAGAATAAGTAACATACAGAGTACAGGGGTCAATGGGAATGTGACATAGAGAGTGCAGGGGTCAGACGTGAATGTCAGGAGCCAAATCAACAAATTATCACCTGCTTCTAAAAGCAAAAAAGTCCTATCTCAGCGCTAGGCCCTCCTGCTGAACTAACAGGACCCAGGAAACCTTACTGTAAGTGCCTGGAGCTATGGCCCATGGTAATACTCTGCCTGAGCCCCATGAATAATAAAAAGTCCCCTCTCTGCTCCTGTACCCCTTTCTGGACTAATGGAGTCTGAGCCCTTACAGGAGGGCTGGCTTTGCCCCCCTATTGGCAGCCTTGGTCATGTCCACAGGCAGTTCTAGTAATATTGCATGAAGCAGAAATAAACTAGAGTTGCACACACGATCAATTCATGATACCCCTCTGCAGGACAAACATGGGCTGATTCACTGCACACATACATACATACACTATATTGCCAAAAGTATTGGGATGCCGCCTGCCTTTACACGCACGTGAATTTTAATGGCATACTAGTCTTAGTCCGTAGGGTTCAATATTGAGTTGGCCTGCCCTTTGCAACTATAACAGATTCAACTCTTCTGGGAAGGCTGTCCAGAAGGTTTAGTAGTGTGTCCATGGAAAGGTTTGATCATTCTTCCAAAAGCGCATTTGTGAGGTCAGGCACTGATGTCGGACAAGAAGGCCTCCGCTCTAATTCATCCCAATGGTGTTCTATAGGGTTGAGGTGCAGGCCAGTCAAGTTCCTCCACCCCAAACTCGCTCATCCATGTCTTTATGGACCTTGCTCTGTGCACTGGTGCGCAGTCATTTTGAAATAGGAAGGGGTCATCCCCAAACTGTTCCCACAAAGTTGGGAGCATCAAATTGTCCAAAATGTCTTGGTATGCTGACGCCTTAAGAGTTCCCGTCACTGAAACTAAGGGGCCAAGCCCATTTTCTGAAAACAACCCCACACCATAATCCCCCTCCACCAAACTTTACACTTGGCACAATGTAGTCAGGTAAGTACCGTTCTCCTGGCAACCACAAAACCCAGACATGTCCATCGGATTGCCAGACAGAGAAGCGTGATTAGCCACTCCAGAGAACACTGCTCTAGAGTCCAGTGGCGGCGTGCTTTACACCCGTGCACCTGATGGTTTGCATTGCACTTGGTGATGTAAGGCTTGGATGCAGCTGCTCGGCCATGGAAACCCATTCCATGAAGCTCTGTTGTTGTGCTAATCTGAAGGTCACACAAAGTTTGTAAGTCTATAGCTATTGACTCTGCAGATAGTTGGCGACTTCTGAACACTGTGCACTTCAGCATGTGCTGACCCCTCTCTGTCATTTTACGTGGCCTACTACTTAGTGGCTGAGTTGTTGTTGTTCCCAGTTGCTTCCACTTTGATATAATACCAATAAAAGTTGACTGTGGAATATTTAGTAGCAAGGAAATTTCACGGATGGACTTATTGCACAGGTGACAACCTATCATGGTACCACGCTTGAATTCACTGAGCATCTGAGAGCGACCCCTTCTTTTACAAATGTTTGTAGAAGCAGTCTGCATGCCTAGGTGCTTGATTTTGTACATCTGTGGCCATGGAGGTGATAGGAACACCTAAATCCAATGATTTTGAGGGGTGTCCCAATACGTCCCAATATAGTGTACATAGGAGGGGATTTACTAAAACTGGTGCACACAGAATTTGGTGCAGCTGTGCATGGTAACCAATGAGCTCCTAACTTCAGCATCTTCAATTAAGCTTTGAAGATAAAAACCTAGAAGCTGATTGGCTACCATGCACAGCTGCATCAGATTCTATGTGCACCAGTTTTAGTAAGTCTCCCCTATAGAGCATCCACAGAGTACAGACCTTTCACACAAAAAGATAAATTCATATTAATTACAAAGGCTAAAACATTGGGCCACCAGGACTGTGCTTTTACGTTGTAAGTGATAAGAAGTGAATCTAGTCTTTTTGTTGCCTTGAAATATAGAGGGGCATCTGTTCCTTCCTGAATGTGGACTATTTGCAGGCCAATTAGTGCTGCCTGACATTTAGCGCTTTTTGTACCAGTCTTTCCCTAGGTCTAGTATTTTTTAGCTCATTATGCTACCTGAAATTTGCAAGCGATACAAAAAATTCAAGCATTGTTCATAACATCTGGGACTCTGGGACATATGGTAGATAGTCATTAGCAATAACAAGCACCTTTGAGAATTTGGAAGTGTTCGTTGCTGTACGCAAAGGCGGCGAACATGTAATTGTTCACTTTAGTAAGCCAAATGGTTTCTTCACTGCTTGAGTCCATCTGGCAGTCACAATCTTCATGGGCAGATAGCCCTCCACTTTTCACTCTTGACGAGGAATGGACAGCATGGAATGTGTTAAAGTGGTCCTAGAAATCAATATATTTTCTTACGTTAAGCACTTGAATCTTAAGTAATGTATAACTTTAAAAATTTTATTACCTCGTACAACAGAGTACTCACCCTGACAATGCCTGAACGATGTCTCCATCTTTGTTCAGGGATCATCCAACATCAGCATCTAGTTCCTAGACTGAGATGCTGGCTCGGTGATTACAAATTTATGTAAATCCTGGTGCCTGCACAGTTCTTGGCTGTATTTACAAATGTCTGACACTGATCAGTTCCCACTGCAGCCTCACACTTTATGACTTGTTTCAGTCTGAGTGAGGACTAGAGGAGAAGAAAGTGAGAAACTGATTTCTCCTGCCTGCCTGCTGCAGATAGATGACATCAACACAGCCTAGGCAAAGTTACTAGACTGAAGTTCATTAACTGATTATTAAAAGTAGAGCCTTTTGACCAATAAGGGCCATTATCAATGGGCTTTGTTGGCTTCAGAACTGCTTCTCTTCTCATACATGTATATGGGAATGTAGAGCCAGCATGGAGTACAGGACATCAGCTGCAAGTCAAATGCACCTGCAATGAATTCTGAATGATTTTAGAAGCTAAAAAAAATTTTGGACAAAAAATGCTGGTTATAGCATTTTTAGTAGCATTTTAGTAGGGCTCAGAATCATTTAGGAGCGCTAGTGTATTAGTAGCGTTTTTACAGTACATGTAGAGGGAAAAAAAAAGCTAGAAAAAATCTGTTAGGAGTGTTTTTTTAGTAGCATTTAGCTTTTTTTCTGATGGAAAAACGCTCCAAAAAACTTTACAGATACAATTTATTTCTGCTCCTAGATGCTGAAGCTCAAAAAATACTAATAGCCCAAAGTCGTGTATATGGACACATAGGATAACACTATTTAGCTTCTAGGAGCAGAAAAAAATATGCTGATAATAGATTCTAGGAGCTTAAAAAAAAAACACTAGTGTGCATGGAGCCTTATAAAGTTAATAAAAGCTGAAGTTTAAGGTCTTTCACTGTGAGTACCTGATTACAGCCCCAAACCATGCTATATTATTTGTCTCCAATTCATCTGTCTAGAGTACTCAAGAATATTATTACTAATTTAGCTATTCGATACATGTATCACCCAAACTATACATTTTAGTAGAGAATAAAATTTCTTTTGTGCCATCATGTCTTTCAGGATCCTGATGTCATCAATACTGATCTGCCTGTAGAAAGCTGTCCAGCCCTAGAAGATGAAGGAAGTACAATAATGCGTCCAACCAGCTGTAATGGAATGACACCTCTTTTGGGCAACCCTTCGCTCCCAGTTATGCTGGACACACAGACCATGGAACATAAGCTAGGTGATTTTCCTGAGGAGATACGGGTTGAAAATCTGGTGAGCTGGAACCTCCGAGCTCCCACTCTACAATGTGTTGGTGAACCTTTAGACAGTTCATGGGTCCAATCAAACCCAAACTCCACATCAGAGACAAAACCCCAAATGCCCCACAAACTAAAGAACAAATCCAAAAATCTCTGGAACCCAACATATGGGTCTTGGGTAATGGAAAGCACCTGCTGACCTGCTTAAGTATCCTAGTTTCCAGCTAGGATAAGAAGACTCAGGATTTTTACCTTAGAACTATGGGATCTGTCTCTACCACAAGCCAGATGTTTCAGCATTTCCAAAGAAAACTCACTACACCCTCTGATTACCTTCACTTGTTTCAAGTTGGATTGCAGGCAAAAAGAACTTGATATCCCCAGTAAACACTGTGAAATATATTTCTAAGTGAAACTTTAAAGACTACGGCTTATGGCAGCATACTGGCATTGACCTCACTTCCTAGGAAAGTAATATATTTTTTTTATGCCTCCTGAGTTTGTTTTATGAATGGCAATAAGCTCTGAAAATATAAAATGTGTGCTTTAGTTATACACGCCTCAGTTTATAAATAGGATTTTCACTGCAATCTGATATCCATTAAAAAAAGCCATAGAACTCTATACTAAAAATAGGTTGTTCTGTTGAAACGTCTGGTTAATGTTAAGCTTTATAACTGAAAACACAAAGGGACAAAATATACTCAGAGTAATTTCTCATATTCCACTGGAATTATCTGTGGTTAATGCAACTGCCATGCTTATAAAGCTATGATGAGAACTCAGCATTGGCAACTACTGGATTCTGGTCAAAGTGTCTTATAAAATAAAGCCAATTTCCAGTACGTCCCTTTGGAATAGGTGCAGCTGGGTGAATCTACCATCCATGGGAACATGCATCTGAAGTCTGCAGGTATTGATAACATATGTGATGCACTTCAGTTGTTCTCTGCACAGAAGTAGAAGAACTATTTATCCTTATAGGAAGCATGGAATCTCTGGAGCAAATGCAAGTTCTGAATAAGGGCTTCATCGAAGCAGCATTACTACTGTCAATTTGCTGCCAACTGTGGAGTGAAACGTATATATTTTTTATAGCAAAGACACTTCCATTATCTCCCTTCTGCTTGTAGACCCAACCCATCACTGCCAAACTAGCTGGAAGGGACTATACTTCATAGTGGAGCAGTCGTGTACTTCTAAGGTTCGGTGAACTTGATGAAATGGACATTCACTTAAGTTTTAAGCTATGTACTCTCTGCATAGATGTCAATATTTTTATTGCTCCTTTTGTCGGTGAGTAGCAATTAAAGAGGACCTGTTAACTGTCATTTTGAAGGTAGCCATTTGGAGCTCCAGACATGCATACGCTTTATCAGTTTTTAAAGCCTGATTGAGCCTTCAGTTTAAATGAGCTAAAGACATTCCAGGTGCATTAAAACAAAAACGTTTCAATGTTTTACAGTTTGTTTTCTTTAAAAAGCAGGTACAACCTGATTAGAAAAGCCTGTCCCTGGCAGCAGCTGAAGAGTGTCGATGTGGGGAAGCAGTGATCTCATTTGCAGAGATCTGACGTCCTCCCTACTGAGTCAGACTAAAGCGGGCCATAGATGGGATGAAAAACAGCCGAAAATTGGGCAAAAAAAAAATTGGCCGATTTTCGGATCATTAGTGCAGTAATTGGTCGGCCGCTTTTAGTGATTTTTGCCCTTTTTGATTATCGGTCCTGCTGGAAAATAATCGGCCAAATTTGTCGTTCTGCCAATTTTCGCAGCAATGATGGACAAATCTGTTGATCTTTTCTGATTTTAAAAAATGCGCATGAGCAGTGACATGAAAGGAGAAGGAAAAGAAGAAAAGGAAAAAAATAGAATATGAATGAGAAGAAGAAATAGAATATGAATAAAAAGAAGAAATAGAATATAAAGAAGCAGCAAAAGAAGAAATAGAATATGAAGAAGAAGAAGAAAAGAAGAAATAGAATATGAAGAAGAAGAAGATAAAAAAAAGAATTTCAGTCTGATATTATATTTGACATTTAAAAGTATAGCAACATTGTATCTATTTGTATCCGAACAGAAACATCTGAATCTGAAATGGATACAAATAGATACAATGTTGCAACTTTTTCTTATTATTCATATTCTATTTCTTCTCTCTTCTGCATATTCTATTTCTTCTTTTTATTCATATTCTATTTCTTCTTCTACATAATCTTTTTTTCTTCTTCTTCATATTCTATTTCTTTTTTTTATTCCTATTCTATTTCTTCTTCTTCTGCATATTCTATTTCTTCTTCTTCTGCATATTTTATATAATTGCCGGCCGTAGACGGGACAAAAATCAGCCAACTTTTTTTTACCAATGGTGGTAACGTCGGCTGATTGAACGACCGATTTTACGTTTTTCTAAAAAAAAAAACAGCCAGTTTTCTCCCCGCCTATGGCCTGCATTATATCTTTAAAATCATCAAAGCTCATACTCCCTGCTGATTGGAATGGACTGGGTCTGACTCAGCAGGGTGGGTTGAACTTCTTTCCCACTCTACAACATGTTGAATTGACACAGATTTTTCTATTCAGGCTGTGGCTTATTTTTAAAGAAAACACGCCGTAAGACTTTGCATACCTTTTGTATTGATATACCTGGAATAAATTTAGTTAACTTAAACTGACAGTTTATTTGGGCTTTAGTCCTCATGCACACTTGACGTTTTTACAGCGGCTGTTTTTGGCTTTTGACGTTTTTTTCTACAGCTAGTAAACCTTATCCTATGTGTTCATGCACACATAGACTGTAATCAACGTTTTTTGGCAGGGACGTTTTATGGGTGGAAAAAAAAACCCAGGACTAGTGGGTTTCTAGAGGAGTTTTTTAGCTGTAAAAATTCTCTAATGCTGAAAAAAACGCAGCAAAAACGCGTTAAAACACTGCAACCAGTGTTTTTGGACTTTTTTTGACCCAAAAAAATTTGGTAAAAAAAAACGCTGGAACACGCTAAAAAACGGCAGCAAAAGGCCGCTAAACACTAATGCAAAAATGCTAAAAAAAGCTGAAAAACTCACCTTTTTAACGTGACTTTACACAGCTAATGTTACCAGCATTATCAAAACGTCCCGCGTGCATGAGGACTTAAGACCAAGTGCTGACCTATCAACTTTATGATCACCAAAGCGTTAAAGCCAATGACATGTCTTTGCCAAATTTTTAGCCAAATTTCTATTGTGAAAAGAAATAGACTCATACAATCAGTAGGTTTTTTTATGCATACATGCATAAGGCATTTGATGTTTTGCAGACACCTACGATTAACAGCTAAAAAGGGATATTACATAATACATTTCAATTAAACACACTGCTTGGTTTAAGCAAAATTGTTATGCTGCTGATAGCAAGCAACTATTATCATGTTAATGGAGTTAGAAAATAAAAAAAAAAAAAAAAAACCTAACAACAACAACATTAATAAAAAAGGGTTTGTCCTCTTTGTAGGTAATATAAAAATGTACAGACAATTTTTTTTAATTCTTAGATATAAAAGAAAGGAGTTAAACTCCTTATCAGTTTATTTGCTGCATGTGTCCCGCTAGGGAGATTTTTCTTTAATATTTGTCCTGAACACATATCAGGAAATTAAAGTAAACCCCAAAAAAGTGAATGTATTTCCCAAAGGTGTCATAGGTATCTCAGTTGAAGCATTGACTTTTTACTCTACCATTTTTTCAATCTAAAATTTTGGATTCCCCATCTATTTTTGTCTTGGTGACAGTGGTCACCAGGACAAACAGAGGGGTAAATTCCTCCAACAAGAACATGGGCAGCAAAAAAAAAAAGGGGTTAGTCTAACCCTTCTTCACGCAATCCAAAGCAGAAAGGGGCACAGTTGTGGAAAAAACAGGAGATTTGGGTCTAAAAGATAACCATCCCTTCACAAGTGTAACATCTAGAAGTTATGCTGAAAGCTCCATATACTAATGAAGGAAGGCCTATATGTACCTTTTGCAGCAACCAGTCAAACTATATGTTCAGCACTGGAAAACAGTAATTGAACTAAAATAGTAGGTTGAAATCAAGATTCAAAATGGCTACCAACACTGTGGGTAGTTAACAGGTCCTTTTCAATAAATAGGGCAATGAAACTGAATAGAATGCAGCCTTGCATTGGCTGTTATTAATAGATGGAACTATTGTGCTTATATAAATAAAGACTTTTTTTATACAAAAATTGCTATCTTTTTTGTCCAGATTTGTCTTGATAAAGATCATTGCTTGAAAAAATATTTTCCACCTTAGTATACAGTTGTAGTAAATGTAATGTGTACCTGTGCTTTGCCCATACAAGTAATGAAAAATCCAAATATGGAATGTGTCCTGATCTGGCAAAAACCTGGGCCTAAAATCTTTATACAACATGTTATTTCCATAACTGAATCCATCCTTTTTAGAAAGCCTTCTAATAAATAGCAGTAAAGAAAAATTATCTTGTATAAGTTCCAGGCAGGAAGCACAACATGCATGTAGCAGAAGGCCTTGTTATATGCACAAGGATTGGCAGCAGAGGCAGACGTAGTATTCATACACATGTCTATGCGTGGAAATGTAACTCCTGTAATCTTTTTTAATACATTTTGTTTTTCTTAAAGTCCAACTCCAGGATATTTGAAAATCCTCTCCTCCATTGCGGCTGTGCCCGCATTGTAAGGGTTAACTGCTTGTTTTATCTAGAGGTGTGTAAAAGTACTTTCACATACCTCATCTGTCCCTACTCTGACAGGCAGCCCTCTCCCGTGCTTCGCTGTGAACTGTTCTTCGATAGCAGAACCTTAAACTGCTGGAGCATGTGGAAAGAGTCTGCAGGGGCTAGCAGATATCGTATACTATACAGAGTACAGAGAGGTAGCAGTTCCACATTATTGGGATGTTTACATTGTTCTGTAGTGTCTTACCTAAATTATAAACTGATCTTAATCTTTACAAACCTGCCCTCCTGGTCCTCTTGCAATTTGATTGTGGTGTGAAAATTTTGCTCTGCTGTTTGCCTGTTATTAACTCCTGATTGAATATTTGGAAAGTTACATTCCCACCCATCACAATATAAAGCTAGACCACCTTTACTGGGAAGCACATAGCTGGGGGCACATGGCTGGGTGGAAAATGTAGGGGTACTTTAAAAAAAAGTGGGGTTCGTTAAGTGGCACT